ATAAAACTTTATAAATGCATTTTATAAGTTATTGTGTCATTTTACATCATTTTACGTCTCTATATGCAATATTTGTAAATGTTTCATGAGCTATATATACCCCCTCCCCCCTGTCTCTATAAATAGCCATATATCTCATCCCTATGGGATATATGGCAAAAATATAAGGGTTTGAAAAAGTTCATTTTTTAATATAAAAAATAAATATTGTATTTCGGATTTTTAATATTTTTTTTTATAGTAGTAAACAAAGTTACAAGTTTTTACTGCTATAGTTCGTTTACTTTAAACATAGTAAATAATACTTAATAAATTAAGTTTTGATAGATACGGTGTATATACCGGAGTTATCCCAGTTATGGTTATTTGTGTCTATAAAGGTTTAGATTATAAACATCTGTCTAAGAATTATAAAAGAATAAAGAGGAAATTAGATTCGATTTAAAATTAATCTACATTAGTGGAAATTGGCACAAAAATATATGAAATATATGAAAATATATGAAAATCTTGTGTTACATAAATTAAAAATAATCTATTTCCTTGTAAGTAAAATTTACATATCAATTGTATGGACATATAAATATCAAAAGCAATACTGTATTACTTAATATCGATAGCATTTTAAAATTATTGATATTCTGATAAATTTGACTTTTAATTTTAATCAGATTGTTGCTCTTATACATGTCTATATAGATTTGATATTGGCAATACCAGCAACCTTGCCGATCTGCTCATCAAGCTCGGCTATCTGCCGTTTCTCGTTCTCAATCAGCTCAATATACTTGGCACGCTTCGTCAGCAGACACTTTAGCTTCTTGACCATTTCCACATCTTTACGCGTGAATGCCTTCGATCGCGCGGTCTTAATTGCCAGTACAAGTTCGGCTTTCTCATATTCCAGACGATTGATCGCGTTCTGCTGATTGCGGAGCTGCAATCTCGCGTCTTCCACGCATGTCGCCCGATCGTTCTCCATTATCCTATATTGCCTTTTCAGCCTCGAAAGCTCGACCTCCGCCATCGTCTCCATTTCTAATTCATCCTGGACCGGTTGCTGTTTATACGCCATTTCGGAGTCTCGTTTTTGGCAATCTCTTGACAATTCTAGAGTTTATTGACAATCAGCGCTGACAATTCTCAGAAATCATCTTGCATGCGATTGAAAGCAGATATTAATAATACCCGGAGGTTATTATTTCGCGTACCTACTTTTTTACAACAGGTTTATGGAAGATAAGTAGATGAAAAAGAGAGAAAGCTGTAAATTTCCCGGAAGACGTCGCGTTGATGTCTTCGAGATCGGCAACGTCGGTCACGAAGATCCATGTAGGGGCGGGTCGCACTCCAGTCGCGATCCCCGATGACGTTTGACGCCGATATTTGAGAGAGACATCTGCCACCCCGAACAGCCGAGGCAGCTTAACAGTTAGCAGCTGTAAAAGACTGTAGGGCGTGCTATAACTGCTTCTGTTACTACTTCCGGTTGCTAAGCAATGGGCTCAGCGACGTAACGCTCGCTGAATGGGCTTGGGCGCAGCGGAAATTAATTTCCTATCTACAAATATTTTTAACATATTTTTGACTTACACCACGTTGCAAGTTACGAAATAACTCCAAAGTATCAGACATTGATCTTATAAACTTCTTGATAAATTCGGGACAAGGATAGAAAAGTTATAAATTAAGCTGTTTAAACTGCTAAAACTAAAATTAAGCTAAATGTTGATTGATTTATATATATATATATATATATATA